AGCGGGAAGTCCACCAAGATTCCTCAGAAATGAAGATTTGACATAAAATTCGTCGCTGGGGGTGTTTAAATCCGGAACCTAACATGTAATATAGGATTGCTGCAATGCTGGCTATTGACCATTAAAACACCAGTGTAAACCAAGATAATACAATGGTACTATTTTTTGGTACAACAAAGGGGAAAGGACCTCTATGACCACCGCCATACATGACAAAGCTTGTGTCAGCAAGTGTTGCCAGTAGAGGCGGATTGAGAAGCTGAGTGCTCCAGCAACACAAGGGTTGCTTATGATAGGGTGAGTTGGTACGTTGCTGCGTCATACTATGTCAGAAAGCAAGAAAAGAGCCGTAGTTGGTACATCCGTCATCAGTATTCGTTTATTATATCAAAGTGAAGGAGTCAGTAGTTGCACTCTTCGTGGGGTTTAAATAATTCACAAAAAGCACATTGTTACTGGGGTGGTATGGCGGTCTTGTGTGCAGGTGCACCCATGTTAGCACACACCATCTCATATAGGCTAAGCATATTGGACAAGCACCTCAATGTCTGTGACATCCGCATGTTCCAACGCGTCAATCTTAAGGGCCACTCACCACCCCGCATTCAAATATGAGCGAGTGGTTTCTTCCTCTCCTTCGCTACAATTCCTACAGGTAAAATTCGTTCAGCATATCCAGATTTCGCTGTTGTCGGCTACGCGCTGTTATCTCCGCTTGCGCTGTTGGAAACACACCAAATGCGAGTGAAATCAAGTGATCGAGCACTATATAGCAATTAGAGACAAGGAAGAACGAATGGGCGGCCGCATATCAAGACAGCGCAGGAGACAACAGAGAGTAATAGTTGAGCGGTGGAGCGGGCCCAGGGGAGGAGTGGAGGGTCGAGCGGGGAGCGTACGACAGAGGATAACGGCCGAGTGAATGCTCCACTTGTTTAGAGGGACAATAAAGGCAACAATAAGTCAATGTTAATTGTTGAAATAGCGGCCCAGAAACCTCCTATTGTTACTTTTGTGCCAAGTAAGGGCCTATTTTGAAATAAAATCATGTTTTAGTGGACAGCATCGGGTTAGCGCACTTTAAATTACCCGCCTCAAGAAGCGGACCGACCGTACCGATTCACGTCGCTGTTGCCGTGCACAACGTTGCCCGGCTTTACTGCGCTAGAAGTAGCAGACCAAAAGCAGCTGGAGCCACACCAGCAACAATTGTCATTGATCAATTTTCTGCCATTGCCTTCACGACTGCAGACGTTTTTTTTTTTTGTTTGAACTGCGCCCCGCTATATGGCACCACCTGTCCCGTATAACCACGTGAAAATTGAATGTTTTAACCACTCGCGCCATTCCTCATAGTAACGTCCGGTGATACTTTTTTCCATAAATCAAACAGAAACGAACAAGTAGCATTTTATTTCGTATCTTGATGTACGGAAGGTTCTTTATTCAGTGAAGTTAGATCGATTGCTAGTGAATAATTGTAGGCGGTCCTTCTGATGTCATCGGCATCATTTTGAAAATGTCCCTACGGTGGCGCTTGTGTTATTGTGCATTTACTTTTATTTCTCGGTAAGTAGGGCACTGTTGTTGATAATATTGTTGTTTTAGATGCCCTACATTGAGCTTTCACTATGTCATAAATTGTTATTTGAGTTTAATGTCCCTTTAAGCGGAGACAGCGGAGCTCATTGGTGCGCCACCTGTTGAAGACGGTTGAAGCTACTATCGATCGAGCAGAGGCTTGCGCGCTGGTCCGCTGCGCGCGTTCCGCCGAGGGGACGAAATGCGGCCGAGTGACTCGCTCGTAAAATCGCTGGTTCGCGCAGCTTGCCACGCATGCGCAGTGCGCGTTCCGCTCGTTCGCTGCTGAGCCGTTCATCTCTTTGTTAGGCATGTTATATTTTGCGTATATGGCTATGTGCTATATAGACGTCACGGAAATCGTTCTTGCATCACTAAGTTTGTCAGAAAGATGGAAAAGGCCAGGATAGATTAATGGACTCATTTTTTTTTTTTTTAATTTGCAAAGGATTCCCTTTAAGGAATGCGAGAAGCACGGTTTATAGTTCGGACTTTGAACGCATGAAAGCGTTCTGCTTCCCGCTGTTGCGTCTCTCTCACTCGTCGGAAGCAGTCGCTTTTTTGACGTTTGCCCGATCAGGTGAGTGTGCTTGCACCTGGTGGTAAAAAAAATTCTAATGTTCAATTGTCTTTAGAGAGAAAAAAAGAGAGTGTTTGAAGCAGTCACTTTTAGTTTGAATGTTTAAGGGTTTACTTTGTGGGAGCTGAAATTTCGGTAATGATCGACGTACTTGTTACATTTGTTTGAACAGTTGTCGAAGCTTTAAACATTAAACCTGGTAAAGTCTTGACAAAAATATATCATGAAGATTAGAAAGATAGAGGAACGCGAAAGATATGTGCCTTCTGTTTGATATATTAAACGAATGCTTTAGGAATGTACCGACTCAGTCTTGTGGATATTATTTGCTGAAAACGGTTACCTGTAAAGTGGGGTAGTTGCTTGCTTATGGCGAAAATTAGGGGTATACGTCATGCTTTATATGCACAGGTGAACTTAAATGCGCGTAGTCCTGAGGCTTCAATTGCAAACTACGCCTGGAAAGATTACAGGGCATGATACAGTGTCTTTCACCAGCCAAGCTGAAAGAGTCCCTATACAAGGGGTCCTGTAAAGATAAGCAAGGCAAATTTTAGGTAATATTCAAATATAAGAAGCGGGCGCTGATACGGTGAATACTAAGGCTGTGGTTTCGGCCTGTTGGTTCGCCATTAAAACGCTTAAATTTGCGCGGCATTATGTGAGAATAGACAGAAGCAAAAAATGAAGTGACGCGGTTGATAATGAACTCGCGTCTTCAACGCATCTTTAAATTACAACGAAAATGCATCAGTGAGCCATCCCTTGCCTTGTAGGTGAAAGAGACTGTGTATAGTATATGAGTGGTAGTAGACACATGCAAAATGCAATCTCTATAAAATGCAATATATATATATATATATATATATATATATATATATATATATATATATATATATATATATATATATATATATATATATAAGGTCACGAATTGTTCAAATAAGACTAAGACTGTTGTATGTCTGACCTTCATGTGCCTATTAGTGTCTCTTCTTGTGTACGTGCATCAGTCACGCTACTTTATCCATTCTAATGATAAATATTCTGGCGAGATGAAATGTATTGCGAATGAATTACTATATAGCATATAGTATTGAGAATCCCGCTACAGCATATAGTTAGTACTCAGAAGCCGCGCACAAGCAACGTTTTAAATATGTGGCCTAATTACATGTGGTGGTGGGGAAAAGCATTTATTTAAAATATTCACAAGTGGAAGATAGGGATTCATACTGCAATTCTCTTCGCGCCTGCTCGAAAGACACCACTTGACTAATTATTGAGTTTGATTTCTTGTGTTTACATCAGTCTGCTGCAATTTTTTTCGAATTATAATGTGGTGGATGATGAAAGCGATCAATTATTTGTGATTTGCCAATTGCATGCGAGTGCTTTCCTTTAGTTTTGGCTCACTGATCAGTATGTTCTCTCGTTGATCACTTCTTGCTTTATACCTTCTGTTTTACTGCGTTCACTTTGTTTCGTAGAAACATTTCAGGGCAGTTAACAGCCTCTCTGCCTTCCTCGTATCTCTCTCAGTCGAAACATCAAAGACCCATTTTCTTACACTGACTTGATAGGCATACTTCAAGAAGATGGAGCAGCAAACTGGAGTCTTGCTCTGGTGAACCTCCACGACAGAGCTAATGAAAAGTGGTAAGAGTAGGGAGGTTGGACCACCATCCATGGAGCGACGCTTTCCGCGAAGCAACACGGCGGCGCAGCACACGCTTGAATGGGGGCTGGAGCACTTATCACGTGCGCCAACCGAGAGGCAAGCAGCGTGCGAACTAAGAGTAAGTACAGGCTCACGTCATTCTTGCTCGCAAGGCACAGCTTTGACTGTCTCATCCCCAGTTCCCTCCGTCCCTTCTTATCAGGTAAACTAACGGCGAGGCATGCGATGAGGCGAAATATATTGCAGCCGATCACGTTCGAATCGCCTGAATAAAGCTGGAGGTGGTCCGTTTTTTTTTTTGCTTTTTCTTCGGGCACAATCATTACCTGCCCTGAAGTTCCCAAGCTGGTGCATGTGCCTTTGGGCGTCGGTCAGACAATGGCTGGGTCGTAAGCTGGAAGCCTCTATTTTCATGAAAACAGCAACAATCTAAAAAAATTCCGCTTTACGACTATTTCATCATAAAAGGGAAAATATTCAGCAAGCACAGCAGATAGCCTTACATATGCAGAAAGAGGCACGTGAGACGTATACAGGATGTATTCTGTAGCTAGCAAAAGCTGTTCTCCAAGGTTGCCAATCATCCATACGGTTAGCGTTGGGTGCCAGTGGCTCTATAGTGAGTGGTACTTCTTTCCCACCTCTGCCGATGCAATCGGGCTCCGCTGATCTCCCGACATTTCACTAGACCTATTTAATAAAAAATTGTGTAGAGGAAAGAGAGACAGAGAACAAGAAGAAGAAAGGCAGAGATGTTAACCAGATGAGTGTCCGTTGTGTATCCTACACTGAGGATGGAAAAAAAAGGGATTGTGTGTACTAATAATCTGCAATGATAGATATAATATTATTACAATGGCCTCTTTCAAACGCTTGAATACACTTGCTTTGTGAGTGCCGCAGAAGAACAACGGCCGCTCAGCGTGTTACATTCACGCATGAACATTTAAAGGAGTACGTATTTTGCCACACTATGCGCGTGTATCGCGAAAAAAAAAGGTTAACATTTCGCACACGTTGGAACAATATTTGTTTTACGTATAACACTGCATGCATACAAATACTTGCTCACTGTTTGGTGAAAATAACGTTGGACTCTTGATAAGTGGATAATAATTTGATGGATCAAGTGATAACAATATCTAATCTTTTTCATACCTGCAGCACGCCCCAGTAGCTGACCACCTTGGCGAGGCGCTCGGTGACTTCAGAGGAAGATGTACCCAACAGCATGGTCATCTGCTGCTTCCGGTAAATGGCGTGAAAGAAGGCGTTGATAGCCGCTCCGGCGTCGCACTGCGCGAGACAGAAATAACAAAAATAGATGTACTGTGCATAACTGCATGGCGTACCTTCAAAGAATGCGAAGACGTAATGGCTAAATGAATGGATGTGGCACTCAGCATGAAAACGCAAGTTCACATGAGCCTGACGTACTGTCAGTGCATGTCGACCTTCAGGCTTTCCCCGGAGTCTCGGTCACAACTATGCTTACGGGTGCTCGCGTTTACACTGTTGCATGAGTAGTAGAATAATCTGCAGAGGTTATTTCAGAGATGTTACTGAAGAATTTCATATAGAGTTTCTGGGTGGCTGCGATCAAAGTTGCTCAAAGTAAATTAGTACGCCGTAATTTTAAAACGCTGGCAACTCGGAGACCAACGATCAGCAAAACAGTTACTTGGCTCGACACAGCACGTTTGGGTTATGTCTTACTGAAAGAAATGATAATTGTGCAAGTCATAGCTCGCAAGAGGGCATGCAGATTAAAAAAAAAAGTCGCAGCTTTGCCGTAAAGGCGAAGCAATGAATGTTATAGCAACAAATTGGAAGGCGACACCGGCGGCAAAGTCCAGTCCATATATTGATATCGCAATAGTAACAGAAAGTGTTTAAGTAAACCTACGGTTCGGACGAAAAATCATCTTACGAGGAAAAATCATAGTTGAAGAGAACGTGCACTCGCTAACTAACAAAGAACAAAATAACAAGATAATTGATGTTCCAATTATATCTGGGCTTGAATGTTCCCAAGATACGAGAGACGCTGTGGTGGAGGGAAATTTCTTTCGCGCGAATCTGACACAGGGAAGTACACGAGCCTCTTCGCCTCTACCTATATGCCACCTTCGGATCAGCAGCCGAGCACCGTAATTTGTACACCACTACTGGCGGACGGTAACGATAGTCTATCGATATGTTCAGGGCGCCTTTATGCTTGTTTGTGAAGTTTGATATAAGAAGAATACCTTCGCAATGCGTAATGCGAGAGTACGCGCACCATTAAAGGCAAATCGCGGAATTTTTTGCTGGAGCAACTGAGAAACAAACAGTTCACTCGATCAGCGAATTCGCATCTTGTCTATTGAGACACCAACACATCGAACTGCTGAAAAAAAAAAAAACAGTGCGGCGCAATCATATAATCAAGTTGTAAAACCAGTTAATAATAGATTAGGCCATGATGAGCTATGTGGTACCTGCAAATTGCAAACAAATTGCTGTTTCATCCGCATACAATTAAAGAAGGGTATACTGATATTTCTCGGATCAGCCTGCGCTGCGCGCCAGTTTGCGCACTTGATGGGCGGACAAAATGTGTCTGAGCCACTGAGTCGATAGATCATTGCAAAACCGCTGATGACCATTGCGAAGTTTTGTGAAGCCAATTAAGAAGAGCGCACACGCAAAGGGTGGCTGGCGTCCACGGGCTCATGGAAATGAGCGCTGGCGAAGTGCGTGCTGCAGGGCGCAATCTCCGTGTCCCGCCCTTCACAGCAGCGAGCAATTTGCATAACTTGAGGACATTATACAGCATGCGGCCCGTGAATGTGCCCTCGGCGCGTTCTATATACATGCGCCACACGTTGTCCACCACGCATGCACACGCCAAAGCAGCCGCAGCGAGACGACCGTGTTACGACTCGGCAGTTTCTTTGCGAGAGATTCCGGGAACCTGAACAGACGCACACAAACGCGGAACAAGCGCGTAGGTAGAAGGCTCTTCGTCAAACATCAAATTTGCAAGTCGCACTCCGAATTTACACTTCGAGGATGAGGCATATCGATGAAAAGAGGGTTGAAGGGGTCGCAGGAGCACCACTTGAAGCTTTCGAGTAGGGCGGGGGGGGGGGGGAGAGTACGTTACTATTTACAAAGGAATATTCAACGTTGCCTCAGGTGTGTCAACCGAACGGCAAATCCCGCTCTTAGCCTATTCCACCCTAATGGTCATTGCCAAGAGTCGCAGTCTGACGAACTTAACGCACGTTGAAAACCCCGCAAGTGTTAAGTGTGTGGGCGTGTGCGCACAGTAAACTCGGAGGTGTTTCTGTCGAATGTGTTTTTTTTGTAAGCACTGCTACTGCATCACCGAGTTTGCGTTTTTGACAAATTGAGGCTCAAGCATGATTTCGCATGTGTATATGAAGTTTGCAATCCTTAAAATATAGTGTGTACGCAACAAAAAAGCGTCTGTGTAGCTTTGTCGCCGTAGGTTTGTTTCCTGCAGAGAGCACAATCTACGGTTATACTTCCGCTAGGACGCAGTTGGAGAGGACAAGAAACGCCGGAAATGGAGCAGCATATCATAGGGTTACAGAGTTATCGACCATGTTCAGTAGCTGTAATTCCAGCCTTTGACGGCTTTCAATCACTGAGCGCACATTTGCAGGCGTTTATGTCTAGCGGGTAGCGTACATATTTTTCACAATAAGACAATCAAACACAAGGGCTCAAGATTGTTTCACAACCTGGCTTTCATCAATATGGCCCCCAATGCAACTGCGAGGTCGTCTAGCGTTGTTACTTTTATCGAAAATACTGCCACCGTGGCGGGGAGCGTACCCGCTTCCCCTGATCAGAAACGGGGCACCGTAACTATTGCTCCATCACCAGCACATTAAACCGACCAGCGACTTTTTTCAGGCTGGCCCCATGGCGCCTGGGCTTACAAGAGAAAGCTAAAAAGCAGCTACGTGGGTGCGATAAGAACCGCAGACTTCACCGGAATTTCTCTCTTTGTCATAACTTAGAAGCTGAGTTCTACTGCAGTAGAAGTTGAAGCGTGCGCACCCAGTGTGGGAGGTTCCATTCCCGGTGCCGCTGGGCACCCGCCGGTTTTTCTAATGGGGATATCCTGGCTTGGCACTCGGTGTTGTAGGTGCTCAGTTCTCGAGAAGGTTGCTTCCCTTTTCCTTTTTCTCCAGAAAAGATTATAAGACGCCTTTCGCAGTATCCATGACGACGACGATGATGATGATGAAGGCACATTTTTATGGCTCTTAAGGGCATCTTAGAACAAAGACGCGCAAAAGACATGGTTGTTTGTTGACTCGGTCATAAGAAAGTATTCCAGGCGATATAAAATCGTGGTGCATATGACCTAAATTAGATTAATTGTGTGTTGAGTTCAATAAGCAGGCAAAGCATTCTGTTTTTACAAATTTATCAAGTTTCAGCAACAGTCTTTGTCAGGACAAGTGGTGCGTGGTCCATCATATTCGAAAAAAGAAATCTCAGCCATTCCCGCAAAATTAAAAGAAGCCTGATAAAACTGAAAATATTAAATCAAGCGTAGGATGCCCGCTGAAGCGAGGAGGTTTCCCTGTGTCGAATTACTATCTCTTTCAACGTAGTGGGATGGATTACAGTCGAGGAACGCGCCACGTTTCAGTCAAATTTACCTTTCACCGTAGTTTGCAATGCCTCACGGCCGAACGAACATTCGCGATGCCAAAGAACGTCCGTACCCTCCATGGCCTCTCAATCGGACCAGGGCCACCTGCCGCGGACAGCGAGTGAAGAGCTCAATGACGGTGTACATATACGAAGGACGTCGTCCGAAGAGGGCCGTGCCACTATCGACAAAAACGAGCGATGGTCTTGGCATGAGTGGACTCGGCGCGACGCGAGAGCGCTGGGTGGTCGTCCACGAAAAAGCAAAAGAACTATTTGCGAGCTATTACAAAATATCGCAGCACATAACTATAGCAGTCTGTTGTGAATGGTTGACGTGTGCCCGCAAGCATGACTCAAGCTCAGGGAGTATAAAACGTGTGAATGCACACTACGCGTGACCCAGTAAAAGACCATAATTTCAACGCTGGCAGGCATCGGAAAAGCAACAGCACTTTGTCCATAACCAAACAGTAAAAAAAAGTACTACAAGGGCTGTTCAAGATATTCTCAAAAGAACTGGACTGGATATCACTGTGCAAAGTGGCTACTGTACTGCCCCTTCCTGTGTGCATCGTCACCCTGTATCCCTCCTTTTCTCCTTTCTCTTAATTTTTGTGTAGAGTAGCATGCTGAAGCATATTAGCTCAGGCCTACCTCTCTTCCTTATAATAAATTCAAACTCTCGCAAGACCCTGACAACCAGCTACGATTGGTGAACAGGGTTCGGGCGGCGGCTGCGAGCTATGGCTACCTGAAGAGAGGAGGTCACCCACCTTAAAGATGAAGTATACAAAGGGCCAGATCAAAATAAATTTCATTTCCCTCCGTCACTCTCTCTGCTCCCGAGTTACTGAACTATTCTCTGCCCAGTGTAGATGTGGGGAAGGGGCATTTACAACACAGCCTTTACGGTGGATATTTCTGACGAGATGTGCTTTGGGCTACTTGGTTAATATCTGCAGTAAAACAGTGCAGAAAAGGAGAATGACATGTACACAAGATGCTTCGGAAAACTCCTCGTCTGCTCTATTGTTTGCTCCGGTGCTGTTTCAGTGCAAATATTTTGACAAGGAGGAAATTCGAAAATGCTCACGCGGTCAATTCGAGTTAACCCTTACAGATGTCCCCTCTTAATTACATTCCACTTTTAACGCGTGAAATTTTATAGCATGGTATTTCAGTGCGAAATAAGGAAGAGCATTAACCGACACACGTGAACAATAAGTTGTAGTTTTTCAACAAATCAGACTGATAAAATAAAGTTCATTGTCAAGTCAACACGTATATTATCGTGAAAGGTTACAGCGCACATATAAGGAGACGAAGCAATCACACACAAGACGTAGCATTGAACTGCAGCTCATTTATTTCTCGTGGGGCAAGCTGTTTCAGCATTGATTATATTAGCCTCGGAATCCACGCACTCACACCACCGCACGTACTTTTATATGTTATAAAGTAGGCGTCGTCATGAAGATGCTCAGCAAACGATCACTGTGTCAGCACCGCATGCATTGTGGCAGAATTTACGCGAGAATTGAAGTTCAAAAGTATTGTGGCTCGGGCGAGTTAGTTAATCATGAACTTCAGCTTGCATTAGCGCGACACAGAAGAAA